GTTCATTACATCCTAAATTTCGCAGTAAAATTGATCATAAAAATATTAACTTTGAATTCTTAAATATTAAGGAAATTTATGCATCATATGTTCATGCGCACACATATTTTTATAATTGTACATAGTTCATCCTCTTGTATATGCTCATTATGCTTACTTGTTTTCAGTGAGTTTAACCATCCATGTCTTTCTTTGTATTTGTCATGTGAATTATGTATATATGTTAATTGTATTATGTAACAAGAAACATAACTTGTTTACTTTATTTAATAAAGAATCTTGAATCTTGTTACTTTGCACTAAAAGAAATTTTAAATATATATACTTTTTATGCGTCTTCTTTCTTTTTGTTTTCAATTTATAGTTGTTGTGATTTTGTTATTGTTTATCGTCATTATTTTTAATATTATTGTAATTATCCTCATCACCATTAGCACCATCATTATTATCATTATTAACTATGACACATGTTAAACTATAGGACTAACTTCTCTTTTGTATACTTATCAACAACATTGTGTAACTTGATTTCAAATAAGTTATTTTTATATATTTATTAAAAAAGAGGATTGTTTGTATAATAGCAAAAAGCTAAATGCTGTGAAGGATTTTTATTACATCGGTGTTATTTTTAACTATACTAGCACATTTAATTAAATTCAAGAGCAGTTAGTTGGAAAAGCTATGAAAGCCATGAATATTTTTCTTCCTGAAAGAAATATATCACATGTCTTATTATGATTGTACAACTGGTAAACGTAATTGGTTATCTAATGGCAAAGATATGTTGTACATTTATGTCTTTATGGATGTATGGGAGAATCAAGGTTGTGTTTGTTTTAAATCTTTTATCTCCGAATTTAAGCAACGTGTAATAGATGATCTTTTACACAACTGCTGCGTGGCCATGTGAAAGTAGCTGAAGGAAATGGCGGCGACGAGAATTTCATCAACAAAACATAAATGTCAAAAGACATCGCTCGAACTTGCACGTGAAAATCATGACAAAACCGCTTTCCAAACATCACAATTTGAACGTATTTGTATAGCGCAATTGCACTCTTTTTTCGTGCATTTACATCCACAGAATACAGGGCTTATATTAAAATAGGTTCTCGTGCTTCAGCAGATATTAATGCATGCCAAAAGGTGCAACAACTCTAAAGTGTGTTAAAAACAAAGAAGACAAACATGTTTTCGGTTTTGTAAAATAACAAAGGCTAAAGCTATCACACACGTTTATCGGTATATTCAAGAGGATTTATCATATCATTTTAAATAATAGAATTTCTTCTGGACGCTTGAGTATATTTTCATTTTTAAGCATGATTTTTGCATTTTCAAATAGAATTAAGGTGCCCTTTGTGGCAAAGGGATTGCCTTTAATGGTTAAGGCCACAGTTCATCTTTCTTGTTCCGGTGCCATATGAACTGTACATTGTTGGTGCGCCAACTAACCAAACAAGTAAACAAACAAAAATATTAACATGCAACAAACCACCCGCGTGGATCTATTCTTATTCATAGACCACAAGCAAATTTTGAGGTCATCAAGGACTAAGTTCCTTCAATTTAAAGTTGAAATATATTAGATAAAATGTGTTTTCGGTGAGGCAATATTTCAATACAAACATTTGTTGGCTATTTTAAGTTGTTTTTGAAGAGGTATTTTATTTCAAATATAATACTTTCGGCGTACTCTATGGGGGTCTGTTTTTCAAGGAGTATTTTGAATACAAAAATACTTCTAGTTAATTCAATTATGATTTCGATGACGTATTTTTAACAGAAGACTTTTATTTAATTTAAAGGCATTTTCAAGTAGGTAGTTTTATGGAGATTTCGATGAGGTAATTAAAAAAAGACGAGGTAACTTTTCAACAAAAGACTTTTGGTTAATTCAATAGTATCTTCAAGTATAGGTAGTTTTATGGAGTTTTCGATGAGGTATTTTTTAAAAAATACATAAGACTTATGGTAAGCCAATGGCATTCTCAAAGAGATATATTTTAAAAACAAAGGACTTGGTGCAATGGTGTTTACGATGAGGGTTTTTTTTAAACAAAAACTCTTACAATAAACTCACAAAGTAATCGTTTGCATTTAAAAAAGAAAGAATTTTAATATAATCTGGTTTAGATTTACAAACTTTAAATCTTTAAAACATTTGACGGCAGGCAATATATATAAATGTGTATTTGCATGTGTAATTATCATTTAGGGTATTTGAAATTATAATATGCTTTTCAGAAAGAAATCTGACATTTTAATGTCTGTGTAAAACTTTACGATTTGTTTACAATGAGGTAATCACTTATTTTTATGGGACATTTTAAATAAAAATAATGTTGCCAGTCTCTGCATGGTTTTTGTGATTTAAAGGTGAAAAGGCATGTTTTTTTCATGAGCATTTTGGACAAGATTTAACATAGAAAATATTATGGCTATGGTGACATGAAGCTTTGATAACATAATGTTCCCCACAGGTTGAAATACAGATCTCTCGCTGGTAGTGATTATTAACTATAATTGTAGCTTTTGTTTTCAAGGATTAAAGGCTTTTATTTGTGTATTTTCTGGGCAGACAGATACACGTTACATTTTTAGTACCAGGTTCTTTAAGAACATTAGAGGAGATTTAAAAAAAATAGCGTTTAATGAATTAAGCTCCCTCTCTAGAATGAAAACAATATCAATATGTGAAAGTCACTTCGTCGTATTTTATGCATTTGTGAACTGATTCAAAAATGTCAGCGTTATTTTCGTATTCTAAATTATCCCGATATAAAAGTAATATGTTAATGATTAAATCGAGTTTCTCGAAATAGCATTATTAGTTGTCAGACATGATTGACATTTCAAATAACAATTTCACAATGACACAATGATTCATTTTTATGTTTTTGATTGTAATTCGTTATTTATTGTCATGTTTGTGCTTGTAATTCGTGATTAATTTTTTTGTTTTTGATTGTAACTCGTGATTTTTTTTCATGTTTGTGGTTAATATTGTATTCATAATGTGATTATAATTCGTGATTTATTGTAATGTTTATGATTATAATTCATGATTAAGTTAAAAACTTTTTAATGTAATTTTTATTTATTTAGGTGTTTCCGATTTTAATTCGTGACTTAGTAAAAACGTTTGAATGTTATTTATGATTTATTTTTATGCTTGTGATTATACTTCGTGATTTATTATATTGCTTATAAATCCTATTGTTTTTTTTAGTAAAATGCTTATGTTGTTTACGGTGATTTAAGAATTTTTGGAAATGACTCATTTTTTATAATATTCATATTAAATGCTTTTAATTGAATTATAGTGTTTATTTATACATGTATAGCATAAATTATAATTAATGCTAACTGGGCTTTAACATAATATGATTATATATTTTCCAATATTTCTATAAAAATACTATTATATAACATATAATATGTGTTAATGTACTGATTTTATATAGAATTCATACTATTGTGAAATAAGACTAGAATCGGCTTGGTCGAACCAGATTAACCTTAGATAGTAACAAGTTATGATCTGGACAAAAATGACAGGCGTACGGACGGACGGACATAGACTATTACCATATCATTTATTTCCTTTCGATTTGATATAAAATGTTATTTGACATGGCAAGCATGGCTATGTTGAAGACTCAATTTGTTTACAAACTGGTTCTAACAAACATATTCTAACCTTTAATAACCATGGTTTCAAATTTACATAAATACAGTACTGTATATATAATAAAACATACCATATGGGGTTATTTTACAGAATTATAGGGAACTATGTTATTATTGTGTACAAATGGCTCTAACGAAACCTTTGTACTGACATCAACATAAGTAAATTCTCTGTTAAATAGATCTAAAGTAAAACTTCCTACTTAAACACATTTGCATTTCACAAACAGATTTAGGTTAATCACGGTGCCAGGGGACGTGAGGTAAGTTGTACTTTTTCATTATGCCTCATGTACAGACTCAATCGAATTGACTTGGCAATGTTCATGTAAGTTTGCTGTTTTAATGCTTTCAAAATACATTATATTATATATGTACAAAAGTACAACATTACGTCAATGTGAAATAATTAGTTTTGCATGATAAAATGTTCGCCAAAATAAATGTAGAATTTACAATACGTGCAATCTTTCACTTACTTGTTTTGTCCTTCACACGCACTTTTGGACAAATGTCTGGGGATGAATTCTAACTTATAATATGTATGATATAATTACCTTATTTTGTTCTCTTTTTTTGTATAATATTATGTAATTACCTTTAGAGGATAGGTTTTATATAATATTGTGATTATATGTTTATGTTTAATGTGTCTTATAATTTTTGCTTTTTGTGTTTAAAAATACACAAAGAACACCAAAGACATGATGATGCATACTTTCAAAAAAAAGAGAAACTGATAGAATTTGTATAAGCTCATATTTATGAAATATTTGAATACGAATTGTAAGCGAAAATATTTTATGAATTCCCATAGAGTTTCTATATACAAAAAAGATGATGAATGAAAAATAGCAAATACGCAAAGACAGCACAATATTTTTACCCGTTAAATTTCTTAAATATATCTACATTATGTTTTTTTAAAGAACACACACACTATACAATGTTTTTTTAAAGAACACACACAATATCATACTATCATCGTTTTAATTCTTTCAAACTTTTAGCACTACTCGCTGTTACAGGATATCAAATATATTGTACTAAAAAAATATTCCGCGAATATAAGTTTTTTATGTGTGTGTTTTTTTTTTTTTTTTTAGAGGATATCTTGGGTAATAGTGATATTTGTTTCCCTGTTGTATTAATTATTAACCAACGATTTGAAAGTTTTAAATAATATGTTGAACGATTCGAAACATTTTTTTTCCATTTTCATGCCAATACATTTCCCAAAGCGTTAAAAATATACTGATGATAATATAAAAAACAGATGAGTAGAAAACAGTATAACAACTTACCGATTGTAAATATAACGAATAAAACACATATCAGACAAATTCTTGACACAATTTTTCGAAACGATGTTCCCATTTTTTTCAAACGCACACAAACAACATATACAATCAGGAGCTAGTTTTTTTTATATTAAATCCACAATTTTAATATTAACAGGACTGGTGAGATCGTGTTTCGATGTTAGTCAGGTTTTCCTCTATGTAATTTCCTCTACGGGACAGAAGCGGCGCGTTAATGATCGATTTCAGATCATTGTCAACTAGAATGCTTGCCTAGGTGTTAAAAGATATTTATTTATAGCATACAAGCTTCGAATCGAAGCTGACTTGAACATTACCTGTCCATAACAAGGTATTGAACAGTTCGATAAAACGGACCATGAAATAACAGGCAACAATCAAACAGTATTTTCTTTTATCCTTTAAATTGTGCATAATATTTAAGGTGGAATTCTTCAATCGATCCCGATCATGGGAATATTCCTTTAGCAAGCGTCTGTTGAGACAGACACTTGTATTGCGTGCGTTTCTGTGCAAGTTAGCGTTCTTTATATTTCAAAATACTTTTAATTATATAACCGGGAGTTTAATAGCTCTACTAGATGATGATGGACACATTATAATTAGTCTTTAACATGCTATAGTTATCTAATGATAGTTATAAAAACAAAATTGTGCACGTGTATAACATAGAAAACTCCATTGTATAATTATATATTAGGTTGTTGTTGTTTTTTCTTTTTTCTTTATTTTTTTATTAATTTATTCATTAATTATTAATTAATAAATTAAAATAAATAAATTAAAATAAATAAATTAATTAATTAAAATTAATTAATTAATTAATTTATTTATTTATTTATTTATTTATTTATTTATTTATTTATTTATTTATTTATTTATTTATTTATTTATTATTATCATCATCATCATTATTATTATTGTTATAATTATTATTATTATTCTTGTTTTTTTTTATTATTATTATTATTATTATTATTATTATTATTATTTAGCATCAATGTCTCATATAATGTAAAAAACATGTTCGGCCAAAAAGTAGCTTACACTCTATCATTTTTATTTCCAAAAGCTTTATATTTTGGTGACTTACAGAAAGTGATTCAAGTTTGGCAAAATCGGCATGAAATATGCCTTTAAACATTTACAATTATTATTAAGACGACCAAGACAATATAAATATGTATACAATACCAGAAAATATAAATGAAAAAAAAACAACAAATGAAATATGAATGGGTAAACAGATGTTTATGTATTTTAAAAAATGTCAATATCAACAAATTTTAAGCAGCTTTATCTGCAAGCAATTTTGTTTTTAATTCAATAGCACACTGTGGCACCGTTATAGGTCGAAATGCCGCTAAATGTCGCACCATTGCCGCTAAATGTCGCAAAATCATCTACCGTGAAATGCGAGCGACATGTTACGGCGACACACACATGCAGTAAATATGTACTATAGTTCTTGAATTTTTACTAGACAACAGAAAAAAAAATATTCAGAGTAGGAAAAGAATTAAATTAATACAGTATCTTCTAAAGACGTTATTCTCTATAAAAAGCAAAGGCGTTCTGCACATTTGCTTTGCCTATAAGGATCAAATTATTATAAAATAATTTCCCCTTGATCATCAAGAACAAAATTACTATCCAGCTGGATAGAAATTGTGTGCATGATGATCAAGGGGAGGTTATTTTATGAAATTTAATCTTAATTGGCAAAGCAAATGTGCCGAATGCCTATCTAAGAAGGACAATTAAGCAAGAAGTGACATTTATTTTCAAAATTACTACTATACAGTTTACAAATTCAATCATTTATATCGATTCCAACATTTTTTTTCCTTTCAGTTTCTGAAAAAAAGGAAGTTTTTTTTTGTTGTTTATTAAATCTAATAGCATCAAGTTATAACTGTACTGTAAAATGTAAGTTTTGGTTGATTTGAAATGGTTTCAAGGCACATAGTGCTTAAGGAATCCATAATTTTTATTCTTTTATAAATGTTAAACATGTATTTAATAATGTTCTAATAATTGATTAAGTTATTATAGTTTAAACATATTTTATTATGTATATACATATAAAATTTTCACAATTACACAATTAAACATAAATGTAAATATACAAAAGGGTTGGGTCAAAAGTTATAGCAACATTATCGAGGGCCCTTGCATGTTAGATGTTTAATAACTGACGAAAGTCGCGCTAAATGTGCAGTAATGTTTCGTTGTGGCCCCGTTATATGTCGCAACACTTGTCACTAATTGTGGCACCAATGTCAGTCTTTAGTTTATTTATTTAATCATGGTATATTACATGCATGTGATTTAAACTACAAAGAATATATAAAAGAGAAACAAACAAATGATGAAGGGTTCATAACACACGTGCATATAAACACTTATCAACAATGTGAAACATATATACATATTCCATGAAGTAAAAAAAAAACATATATATTTATAATATACAGTCTAACTCGCAGCCGCCGCTATATGTCGCAAAATCTTCTGCCGCTCAATGTCGCAAAGATAACATTAAATGTCGCACGATTTACTCTTGTCGTTAAATGTCGCAACACTACCGTTTGATGTCGCAAGATGAATATTCATGTTAAAATTAAGTTAGTTGATTGTATTAAATTGCAATAAATAATGAGTCAATGTCTTTACATATTTAGTTAGTTTTTGACCGATACATCTGACGAGTCAAGGTGACAAATGTTTCTTAAAGTAGATTGATCTACAATGGGCACATTTTCAATAAATACACGTTATTCAAATATTGATAAAACAATAGAAACGTATAATGTAGATATTCTAACAAAACATATCTTAAACAAAAAAAAATTAATCTAGTTCTACATGACATTTATATGATGAATGACTAAAAAATTGTTCAAGAATATTTCATTATCAACATCTACATATTATTCTTTCATGGTTTGTTATCATACTTAATACTATTACCAGATATATGGTATTGCATACTTTCCATGATTGACCAGTACATTATAATATCCACTTTGCTTGCGATTAAAATGTAAAAAAAAACACACATTGAGTATAGTATGCAAATACGCTACATGTTAGGTGCATATATAATACCAAAGTTTTAAATATATTGCTTTGTGTACTTTTGCAAATTTATAACTAAACTTTTGTCCATCTACTTGCCGCCCCTCACCGCTGTGCGTTAGAATCCCGCCAGAAACTTAGGATTCTTTTATATGAGGAAGCTATCGAGCAAGCTTACGGAACGTCGGTGGTTCTACTCAAGTCCCCGTTCGTGCGCTGAGGCTGACCAAAGGTTTCATGGAACATCGCTAAATGACTTAAATGTGTTGGTGTGACGTTTTAATGTTTAAAAGCTTATTAGGACTTTGCATGGTCTAATTAAAAGTTAGAAGTTTCAAACACTTATAAGGAGAAATTCCTATTTGTTCTTTGTGTAAAAAACGTAATTAGAAGGTACTGAGTTCAATTAGAATTTTATTTTATATTTAGTCTTTTGAAGCTCTTCCTTATTAAGATTTAATTTCTCAACTCCTAATGATGTATTTATTGCTCCTTATTAGGCTTTTAAAAAACTTCTTAATAAGACTAACAAAGTTGTAATTATGTATATTTCTCCAATAATGAGTAAAATATCCTATTTAGTTGTAACTGGTAGTAACAAAGTCTAATAAGACTTTTTATCTCTCCTATTTAGGAGAATTAAAGTCCTAATTATGCTTTTTTATAGCTCTTAATTAAAAGTGAGAAAGTCCCTATTAGAATTTAAAACTCCTTTTTTTTTTTTTTTTTTTTTTTTGATCTCTCATTTTTGGAAAATATTTCGGTTATAAAAGTAGCATATCAGTGAAATTGTCAAATATTCTTCTGTGATATAATGTGTTGGATTATAAAGAATGACTAAATCAGAGAAAAAGAAGCATATAAAGAGAAAAAAAAGGTAGTAGTACAGATGATGAATTTTTGAATATCAGTAAAGTGTATAGACCCGGAGGCGCGACAGGGGTAAATAAATCATATAGTGATAACTTGGAACTTGCAAACAAAACAGAAATACAGACTAGTGAAAGCAGTACAGAATTAAGTGACATTTTGAATGCAACCAATTTAGTGCTCTTTGATAACCAGTTTCCTGTCTTTGAAGAGTCAGGAGCGCAAGAAATAGTACAGGCAGCCCCGGCTGATATGTCTGCAAGTTGTATAAAAATGGCCTCCGAAGACAATACGTGTATCCCTTCAAATTCTGAAATTATGAAACATCTGATAAAAATTGAATCAAAATTGGAAAATATTGACATTAAGCTGAAAACTTTAGATGTTTTAGAATCAAAAGTTGACAAATTTGAGAGAGATTTAAAATCATTATGGTTAAATGTACATGATACAAAAAATGATACAGATGATAAGCTATTAAAGTTTGACGATCGCATAATATAAGCCATGTTGAAATTTCTAACGCAGAGAAGTTGTCAAAACTTGAATTATTGGAAAAAGAAAATGACCAAATAAAAGAAGACCTGTCTTGTCTACAATCCCAGTCTATGAGAAATAATCTCATTTTTGGTGGAATATCCGAGTCGCTGAATGAAAAAGCAACAGAAACTGAAAAAACAATATAAAATCAGGTGTTTCAATCATTAAAAACCATTTTGATACAATAATATGTCTTAAGCTTCATGGAAATGTTTTCAATTTTACAAAAGATGTATTTTGGCAGGTGTATATATATGGGGAGATGATTCTCCGGCTGCAAGTGCAAACAATGGTGATTAATTTAACCTATTAGAGCAAGATGTTTTTAATTATGAACAGATAGGTAGCGTCCTTGTGGCAGGGGATTGGAACTGTCGTGTGGGTAACAAGCCAGATTTTATCAGATGTGACAAAAATATTTCAAGTATTGATGATATTGACTACTTCCCAGATGAAACCTTATGCAGAACCTCAAGTGACCTTGTATGCAATGCACGTGGCGTAAAACTGTTAGAATTTTGTAAAGCCACCTCTTTACGTTTAGCCAACGGACGATTGGGACATGATTGCGTAACCGGTGAATATACATATTACAGTCAGCAATCATGCAGTACAATAGATTACTTACTGTTAAAGAAATTGATTTTCATATCGTTCAATCGTTCACTGTTAACCAGTTTGACTTGTTTAGTGACCATGCATCATTGAGTTTTAAGATATGTGGCGATAAACCACCGGATTATGATGTTTACAATAAAAAACATTACGTTTATTATAAATGGAATGACGATCATAAAATGTTGTTTAGACGGTCATTGTTGGAAAAAATGAATGAATTTAATAAT